CTCTAGCCCACTACCCCACAACAATTACGACAGACAATTTGCTTGACTTGACAAAATGGAGCATCAAACAGCAAAGAAATGGAAGAAAGGCAGATTAAGTAATTTCCTTCAAAATCTAATTCACAGTAAATAATTCACTCTGTGAAAGAAATATGAATTTGAACCAACTGATTCCCGGGGACCTCTTGGAAGCTGCCACAACAGCAGCAGACTGTTGTAACTCCCCTTGGTGGGTGCCTGATTACTTTCTCCAAGTATTCCAGATGTGCCTGAGACTAAGGTCGGAACAGAAAACTTTGCACGAGTTGTTTTGATTCTGACAAAGAAAGGAAAGTCTTCCTTTGTCCTGAGCAAGCAGCAAGCACCGGCAAAGAGTTGGGAGCTTTGTGCGCAGAGGTGTTGGCCATGCACTTTGGCTCCGTTTTGCTCTTTCAGGGACAAAATAACCAGAAGAAACCACTTGCGTGGAAGCGGCAGAGCAAGCAGCTACACAGCACAAACGCAGTCTGTGGCAGCAGAGTGTCACTCAGCATGCTTGCTGCGTTTTTAAAAGTACATCAGAGAGGACTCACATGCCTACAGTGTGATGTTACCCCTGGTCCCCCCAGCCCTCAAAACTGAGGCTTTTCCAAGTCAGACTATGTGGTGTTGGCTTCTTTCTCCAACATTTAAAAGAGGGAACAATACCAAGCAACCCTATGAGGGCAGACAGATTGTTTCCAAGAGGTTTTCAAGCTTCACATAAGCCCTGGTAGCACAGGAAACATGTTGGAAATGAGACACAACATTATTTTAAGTGAACAAAAGAAGAAGTTGTAAAACATGTCTTTCCTGGGCTGCCAGCACCGGGAAACTCGTGTTTTTCCACTCTTCATTAAAGAGTGCAAGAGGTAAGAAATCAACATCCATCTCTTTTAATGTGAGATGTTACAGATCCATTCTGTGAAGCCAAAAAGACACAAGAAAGTCTGCTGGATACATGCAGGAAGGAGCTCACGAACTCCATCTTCAACCTAAAATGTGGTGTTGGTAGAGTCCTAAAAGATCTGGGATTTCCAGGAAAACTGAGAGAGCAATAAGGAAACTGAACCAGGCCAGACAGGATCTTGTAGTTAAAACAGTGGATAAAATCAACAACCTATATATAAGGACTTTGCCTGGACACTGGAGATTAATTTAGCAGGTAGATTTTAAAATTTAAGCTAAGGGACACCAGAAAGAAACAATGCTCCTATTTAGCCTGTTCAAAATGTGAATGTAACTCACATCCCTCTGCATACGAGATGTGGATCCAAAGGCCTTTTGATAAAAAAAGTGCTGCCAGACTTTGGCTACATCAACTGTCACTGAAACTGTGCGGCTGTCCCTTGGAATTGCCCTGCAGCCTAAAACAGTCTGGGAGACAAGATAAAAATAAATGGAAGGGGAACTGGGAAGCAAGTGGAAGCTTTTGGACCAAAACTGTCAATAAACCAAAAGTTGTATAAATCTGGAAAGTAAGTTCATATAGCTCCTGACACACTGCAGCACTGAAGAGCACAGCAAAAAGTCCACTCGGTTTTGCTGAATGTGAGAAAAAAGTTTTAGTACAAAAGAACTGAATCTATAGTTTCTTAGGTCAGAAGGGAGGGCTGGATCAATGCTGTCAGTACATTACTGCACTTAAAGAAATCGAAAAGCTTGGAGGCATTAAAAATGGCATAAAAGTCTCCAAGAAACAGCATGGAAACATCTAAATGCACAGAATCAGCTTCAGTTATCTGCCCTGACAGTTCTGCAGATAAAGAAACAAAAGTGTTATGAAATTACATGTCAGCTACTGAGGAAAGTGATGTTATTTCCCCTACAGACGGGGTAAGGACTTAGAGAGCCAAATGCTACCCATCTTCCAGTAGCAATTTAGAATATTTGTTATCTTCAACATTTTCCTTCATTGGGGGTTCCTCATGCTGCAACCAAGATGATAGAGCAAAATATGTCTGTGCACCTCAACCATGCTCAGACTATCCCCAACATCTGGGCATCAGGGAAGGAGAGCCTGAATGGAAAACAGCAAGCAGGAAAGCCTAAGGCATGGGTTGGGGCTCTCTCCTGCCAACTTCCCTATGTGTGCTGGTAAACTTTGGCAAAGGGCAGGACAGACAGCTAACCTAGGTAATTTTTAAAGCTCCTCAATGACTTTCCCATCAGAGAGAGCCTGGTGCAAATCCTCTAGATCATATCCCCTACTCACCCCTTTTGTCAGCTCCCTCACACACTTCCCCTCTCGCTCCTTTCTTTCACTGACTCAACAAAAGAGATAAACTGAACACAAAACGTAGCTTTAGATCTGTTTGGGAATTAAAAGGTAATTCAAAGCCTGCATCAAGCCTGCCCTTAGACAGAGGCCAGAAGTGAGGACATAATCCCCAGTACAGCTAATGGCCAAGCTTGCTTATAAAGCACAAGACATCAATAAAATTGAAGTAAATATGTACTAGCCCTAATTACCAAAAATAAATGAGTCCCCAGCCCCCATTCTCAGCCGCCTTTTCTCTCTCAGTAAAGCAATCCAACAGCCCCATTTGACATAGGGAAGGAGTTGGGGGGGGTACTTTTTATCACTTACTTCATTTTTCTCTGTGTCAGAGCTCCCCTCATTCAGCACACGATAACGCCCAGAGGCTATGCATTATTGTGGATGGTAGCAAGAGCAGAAAGTAATTACCAATTAGCGATTCTTCTGAAAATGACTGCTAACCCTCAAAGCTCCACTGAAACTAGGGAACGAAGTTCTTCCTGCAAGTCTATGCTAAAATTATAGTGAGAAGGCACTGACTCAAACTGCACTGACTTCCAGCTGCAGTAATGAAAGTGAAAACAGTCATGCCTTCCGTATGCTGCTGTGCCTTTTTCATCAATATCCTCGTGAACTCGTTTCCAAGACAAAACCTGTTAGCAGCAGTTTCTTACCACCATGAACATCCACATTACAGACTGAACGGGTAGGTATTAAAAAAAACCAACTAAATATCCAAGAAACATTTTATCAACTGAAGGAAACGAGTGAGGTATTTGATGATTTCAGCCACTTTCCGGAACAGGACATGGCATTGAAGTGGTGACTTCATACCTGTGCTCGAGATGCCAAGTTCTCAAACAGTGTTTCAGACAGGCAGGCACACGAAAGCGAGATTCCCTTCAGAAACTGCACTCTCTTAGCTCTTGCAATCCTACTCGCTATGCTAAAGCACAGTTCAGCAAGATGGCTGCCAACAGCCCTGACCCAAAAATGGCAACTAAAAAGTAACTCCTTTCCAGTGGCAAAGTAACTTTTTTTGATTCTTTTGTGGTGAAACTAACTCGGCTAAAGTAGAAGTTTCTTTCTAAAGACACTGTTCATCTCAGCAAAATACGCCTTTGAGACTGTCACTTCCACCCCAAGCTCTACCCCGGACACTGAATTCTTGGCACACCTTGCTGGAAGTGACTCAGTAGGACTGAGATCTGAACTTCAGGATTCGCAAAAGAAAAGGTGAACATAAACAACAGATGCTCAAGAGACCAAAAGTGCCCCTGGCAAGGCCAAGAAAGTTACTTCAAGTGTTCTTAGGTTTGGGAAATTTTTCTTTAGGTTCTACTTTAACTCTTCTCAAAGGGCAACGAAGCGGCTTGCCTCTTCGGGCTGGGAGCCGAGAGACCACTATTACTCATTTTTGAGGAGCATGAAAGATGATCCTCAGCCTGGAACTCAAAACGGAGTGAGGCAAGACACCGGAGACGAAAATATAGCCGATTGCCTCAGCTGCCACGGAGGCCAGCCCCGGCACAACATGTCTGCCTCTGCTAATGCCAAGTCACTTACTAGCCCCGGCCCGAGGGCCGCCGCCGGGAGGGGGTCGGGACAGCCCTCTCACTCTCTCGGTGCCCCGCCAGCCATTCCGGGGCCTGGAAGACAAAGCCTTCCCTAGCTGAGGCCTAACCCAGGCGAGAGGGTCCGGGCCGCGCCGGGGCACGGCAGGCAGGCGGTCCCGGGCCGCAACCGGGGAGGCCCGGCTCGGGGGCGGCGGGGAGCGGCCGATCCCCTTTCCCGGCACCGCCTCCGCCTCCTCAGGCCCTCCGTGACACAGCGGGACGGTGGGACGGATCGGGCCCGCCGCCGCGCCGCGCTGAGGCGAGGTGAGGCGGGCTAGGCCGGGCCGGGCCCAACCGCCGCCACGGCGGGGCCTAGGCCGCGGCCTGCCGGCGGGGGGGCCCGCACTTACTCGGATCCCGAGGCCATGGCGCTGGGGGGGAAGGGGCGAGGGGAGGCGGGCGGCGGTGGCTCCTCAGGGCGGGCGGCGACGGCGGTCGGCGGGTCTCGGTCGGACAGCGGCGGCAGCAGCTCGGGGCGCTTCGCGCTGACTGAACCTCACAGCCGACTCATCGCAAGGGGGAAGCTCCGCCCCGCGCCGCCTCACCTGCCTAGCAACAGCGTGCGCTGACCAATGGGAAAATCCGCCCGGTGAGCGTCTCGGCCAATTGGAGGGGCGGAAACGGAGGAGACGAGGGCAGGGGTGGAAAGGAAAAAAAAAAAAGGAACGGGCACTCTGCCTCCTCCGCCCCGCCCCTCTCCTTTTCCCTGCCCAATCGTCACGAGCCAAGCGCAACCCCCGGCAGCCAATCGCGGCGCCGCTCCCGCCGCGGCTTTTCTACCGGGCAACAGGGGCAAAAAATCCACCAATGGGAAAATGCGGGCGAGAAACCCCGCCCCGACGGCCATCCAAGGTTAGCCTCGACTGGCCATTGGCTAGCGCCCCAGGAAAGGGAAAGGAGCGGTAGGGCTGCAGCCAATCAGAAGGCGCGGGGGGCGGGAGCTCGGCAGAGCCCCAAGCGTGGTCGCGGTCACGGGCGTGTATAGGGGGGAGGTGGCCGAGAGCCGGGGGTCTCACACCCGCCCGGGGCACAGCCCAGGGCCTGCGAGCAACTCCACGGCCGGAAAGGCTCGCTGCAGAAAAAGAGCACAGAAACAAAACAAAACAAAAGTTAAAAATAGGTTTTTATTACAAAAAGGGGATCCGCTGCGCACCAATCCTTCGGGAACCCGGCTTCGTGCTGGAGGAATTCCGGGGGGGGGTGTGTGTCAGCTGGCGGGGTCCCCGTGCAAGGTCCCGAGGTAGTCCCCTAGGCTCCTGGTGAGTTCCTCGCGGCGTGGGAAGGCCGCCCGCTGGAGGCAGGAGGCCAGGAAGAGCGGGAGGGGCCTGGGGAAGAGAGGAGGAGGAGGGGGTGAGTCCACGGTCCCACCAGGAATTCCCCATGCGGTGGGCTGCACGGAGCCCCCGGCTCTGCCCCTCTCCCATCCGGCTCCTCGCGTCCCCGTGGGAGAGCTACATCCCCCTCAGGGAAGGGTGAAGCTCCTCAGATCCACCACCACACCCGGGAGTGCCCCCCACCACCATCCCACCACTCCTTCCTCACACACCTTCCCTGCCCGTCCTCCCCGGGGGAGCTCCGGGAGAACTTCTGCCACCGAGCTGCCGCCTCCGGCTTTCGGTCCAGCTTCCACAGGGCCTCCACCAGGTAGGGAAGAGCAGCTGGGTCATCTGCAGCACGGGAAGGAAGGGGTGGGTGGGTTCAGCCCCAGGTCCCCAGCACCGGCTGTGGGGTACCGGGGTCTTGCCAAAGCAGCTGAAGAGCCAGGTGAGGGAGAGGAGGATGGGGAAATGGTGTCATGGGGAGGTGACCGTGCCACAGGCTCTCGTTAAGCCCCAGGGGCTGGCAACCAAGGCGGGTGGCATCAGCCAGAAGACACACCTCTCTGTCTGGGTTGGGGTTTTCCCTCACAACCTGTGCCTCCTGATGAAGGAAAAGTCTAGCAGATGCTGGCCAAGCTCACAGACCTGTGCTGGACAAGGGGAGGTCACCCCCAGGAGCAGTGCTGGCCATGCTGTGGCTGCACTTGGGACACGCATGGCTCCCCCCCCTGTTCCCCTGACAGAGCTCTGGGCCACCAGGCACAGACGTGCCCCTTCCTGGGATGAAGGGAGATCCCAGTTGCTCTGTTCTGGGAAAGGAGACCCTCTCTGGGGGAAAGCTAGCTGGGGTTTGCACGGGAAGAAGAGAAACTTCCAAGGTGTCTCAGGAGAGGGTTCTGATTGTCTGCTTCTCCAGGGCAGTGAGCTGACCAGGCCCCAGAGAAGCACCTCAAACACATCACAGTGCTAGTAGTCCTGCTGTAGCCCTTGACATCCAAACAAGTATGGGCTAAAGCATAAAGACCTTTCTGCTGAACACAGCGAAGTACCCCCAGGGGCAAACTGGTGGAAATCCTCTGCTCCTCACCAAAACCATCCTCTTACCTGGCGAGATCTGCAAGCCGTGCTGGAAATCCAACAAGGCTTCCTTGTGCCTCCCCAGTGCCAGGAACTGCGTACCTCTCCCAATGAGGGAGAGCAGCCTGATCTTCTGGAGCACCTCCACTTCTGGCAGGAGATTCTCTGGCACGGAAAGACACATAGACATGGAAACACCATCCTCCAGACATTCCCTCCCTCATCCCAGCAGGCTGAGCCAGGTTAGTGGTTGGGATGGGCTGAACATTTCTCGGGGCTGCTCATCTTCCAGCTCCCCAAGCCCCCAGTGGCCTCTCTGCCAGGCTGGGAAGAGCCAGGAGAAGGCAGAGTGAGGAACACCAAGAACCTTGGTACATTAGGTGGCTGTGGTGAGCAGAGTGACCTCAGCCCCAGCCTGCCCTTTGGCTGCCCATCTGCACGAGCAGTACGGACCTCCTCCCTGAAATCTGGATTTGAGAAGCTTCTTGCTTCACAAACCGTCACCGAGACAGCGGGGAAGGAGGCAGAGCCGAGGACAAACCCAGCTCTGACCAAACCAAACCAGCCAGAGGTTCTGGAGCGGTGCAGAGCTCAGCACATTGGGACAAGCGGTGCCAGAGGTGACACTAGTCCCAGTGCCTTGCTCTTGTCCTCAGGGCTGCTGAACACACAGGTCCTGACCCATCCCGGCGCTGTGCAGCGTCCTACCTGCTGGTTCAGCACCAGACACGTCCATCTGGACTCGCAGGAGATCGCTGAGGCACCTGCTGAACTGTGTTATGGCCTCCTTGTTCTCGCCCAGCGTGGCCCACGCCCAGCCCTGGTGCAGGTACCCAGCTGCTCTCCAGGCCAGGCAGCACAGACTCTCCTTCTGCTGGGACGGCCCTGTCCCTGGTGATGGGCACTCCGGCTGCTGCAGCCTCTCCTCCACTTGTAACATCCGTGGGATCAGGTCAGTCGTCCGGCTGATGACCTCCTCGCAAAGGGTTATGGCATCCTGGTGTCTCCCAGCCTGCTCCAAGGCAGACGCTGCTTCCAGGAACACCTCGGGGATCCTGGGCAGAGGTGAGCCACCATCTAGGGGTACCTGGGGAGCAAGAGCGGTGGCAGTGCACCGATGCAGAGCACCCAGCCAAGCAGAGTGACCCCATGCTTCCTGGGAACCCAGAGCTACTGCACAGCGAAGCTCAGACCCACTCCCACAGACACTGGGGCCTCTCGGAGGAAGCAGAAGCTGAAGGACCAACTGCTCTGCAGAGTCTGGGTTGCAAATCCCTACTCTTGAAGTAAAGAACTCCAAAACCCAACAAGGAAGGGGAAGCTGTTTCTCCAGACAGCAGTGCCAAGTGGTGTCTTGTGTGAATCTGAAGGCAGATACATGCCACAGGTCAGAGGTGCCAGGTCCCACCTCACCTCCTTCACAACTCTAACTGACACTGAAACCTGGAGTCTGGGGGTGACGCCTGGACCCAGGCCTTGGGATGGGGATCCAAACCTCACCTACCAAGTCACCAAGGGAGCTCTTTGCCAGGAACACCTACCTGCTGCTGCAGCCCCTCCTGAAGCAGAGACAGAAAATCCAGGTAATGTTCCACTGCATCAGCCACCCTGCAAGGGGGACAGAACATGTGGTGGAAGGAGCAGGGTGACTCCAAGAAGTGCCAGCAGCCAGGTGGAACCTGGATGACTAGCCCACAGGTTGTCCCTGCACCACACCTGCTCTGGTCATGACACCCTGCTTTGCCAGGAACGCCTACCTGCTGCTGCAGCCCCTCCTGAAGCAGAGACAGAAAATCCAGGTAATGTTCCACTGCATCAGCCACCCTGCAAGGGGGACAGAACATGTGGTGGAAGGAGCAGGGTGACTCCAAGAAGTGCCAGCAGCCAGGTGGAACCTGGATGACTAGCCCACAGGTTGTCCCTGCACCACACCTGCTCTGGTCATGACACCCTGTGACTCGAGCAGGGCTACAACAGCAGTACTGAGCTGAACGATTTCCAGGAGAACAGAGAAAAACACAGAGCCCAGACAAGCAGTGCTGTTGCAAGGAGACCAGAGGTGCTGTTACCTCCCGTCCTGGAGACATCGTCGTGCCAGCAGGTACTTCACTTCAGAGGGGTGGCGGTGGCGAAGGAGAGAAGCTAGAATTGGTGTGTGGACAGGGAGCTCTGTTCGGATTAGGATATGTGGACTAGAGGAAGCAGCCACTGGAGGGTTTTTTCCCAGAGCCTGTGAAACGGGAACAGAAAATGCAGTCACCACAATGCTGGTCAAGTCCCCAGCAGCTGCAATCACTTGCTAGTTCTGGCATCTGGAGACCACAGAATGCTTTAGGTTGGAAGAGACCTTAATGATCATTGAGATCCAACCCCCCTGCCATGGGCAGGGACACCTCCCACTAGACCAGGTTGCCCAAAGCCATGTCCAGCCTGGCCTTGAACACTTCCAGGATGGGGCATCCACAAGCAGAAACACTGCACTTCACAAGCACAGCTACACTGCTTTCACTCACTGCAGCACAGCTGCTTCCAGGAAGAATAACCAGGATGCAGAAACGCTGCACTTCACAAGCACAGCCACACTGTTCTCACTCACACACACAGCTGCTTCCAGGAAGAATAACCAGGATCACACAGGGAGAGGCAGACTTCTGATCTCCAAAGGGCATCAGAACGTGTGCAAGATCTCCCAGATCACCTCAAGTTTTCAGTTCAAGGTGCTCTGAGCTGCCTGGAACACCATCTCCCACTGCAGCCACAGACCTAGTTAGACCAGATCTTGGGCTATTCATAATGAGAGAGATCCCTCCTAGGATGGTATCTTAGGGATTTCGAACAGCTGAAGAGATAACTCCGTGTTTGCTGCTGTGACCTGCTCCTCCCAGGCAGACAATGGTTGCTTCAGCTAACGCACACCCCACCACCTGTTTGCTGGTGTGACCTGCTCCTCCCCAGCAGACCAAGGTTGCTTCAGCTAACGCACACCCCACCACAGCCACAATCTGCACTTAAAGCCTTCTTTACTAGGAAATTTATTAAGAGACTGGTACTTTCTGGAGTGTAACCTCTTCTCCTAGGCCACCAAGAACATGAAATGGCCACATCCAACAGTCAGGTGCTGGGCAGGAGTTTCAGACCTCACTGGGCTCCTTCCTGCTCACTGCTGGGCACTCCAGCACATGGCTGCATTGCTGTAGTCTACTTTGGGGAGCCCTCCAGGGTCAAACAGGCCTCCCAGAAGGCAGAAGCCTGCTTGAAGCTCTGTGCAGGCTCTGCTGGGCAAAAATCAACCCAGAACTACAGGAAGGAGACAAACCTCATAGAGCAGAGCCAGGGTCTGCAGCTCCGCCTCGGTCTCCCCCAGCTCCTGGTACACTGCTGCCACGTGGGACAGGGCAGGAAGGCACTGGAAGTCCACCTGGAGGGCCCTTTTCAGGTGCTGAAGGGCTGTCTGAAGCTTGCCCTAGTAAGATAGGAAGAGGTGTATGTTGCAAGGAGATTTTGCTGACACCTTTACTGTTCAGTGGGATCCAGATCCCCACTCTGCTTCTCCAGCGATCCCCACAGCGCTTCAGCCAAAAACAGGCCTCCTCGGGCTGGTTTTTGAGCTTCCCTCTCTGCAGCAACCTTTTGCACTCAGACAAAATCCCTGCCTGGATTTTGCAGCTGCCCAAGGAGGCTGGGGCCACAAGGGCAGCTTCTGCTCAAGTCCTCCCCTTGCCACAGCAGCCTAGTGCCACGCAGAGGCAGCGTGGACATCAGCCTGAACCTCCCCACCCAGCTCTCGGCTGCGTTTCACCTCTCCCCACTGAGAGGGAAGAGGTCCAGCCATTACCATTCTCTGAGCACAGCAGCCGAGGCAGGTGTAGATCTGGGCCAGGACCCTCTTGGAGCAAAATCCTCCCGCAGCCTCCTGAAGGAGGGAGAGGGCAGCGGGGAAGTTGCCAGCCTCCAGCTCCTGCAGCCCTAGGACAGATGGAACACCTCAGCTCTGCCGCTCCCCTTCCCAACCTGCCTGGTTCCCAAACAAGTCTTTTCTTCCCGGTCCCACAGGGACCTGCCTGATCTCCCCGGCACCCAGCAACACACAGCAGGATGGTGCCAAGCTGCCATCTTTGGTTTGATGGTGTTGCAAGAGAACAAGCCACTCGATGGGAAGGTCTAGCAGAAATAATAGCAGCTTCCAAGCCCAGATACCAAGATGCCTGCCTTGACCCAGAAAAAGGGCGAAGGCAGGTGTTGGGCAGGTCCACCTACGCATTCATCCACAGACAGGACGATGCAGATGGGGAAGCACACACAGAATCTCTGAAAGACTTCTTCTAGCACATCTGGGCCCCTTCTCAGCAGGATGCTTTGGGATATTAATTCATGAGAATTTATCACAAATAGTATTTGCTTTCCTTTCAGTCCTCGTTTCAAGCTCTGAGGCCTCTCTCACACACCTACATCACAGTCACATCTGCCACATCCCCGATGGAAGTGCTATTGCCACCCTTGGACTTTCAAGAGGTCTGTGGACCTCCTGCCCTCCCTCCTTTTAGGAAATCCCCATGTCAGCCTGAGCAGAGCGAGGCAGTGCTGGCTGGCCCCAGAGCTGCTGGGTTTGTCAAGACAGTGAGCAAGGGAAAACCACAAGCTCGACAGAACACAGCAGTCAGATGAGATCAATCACCTGCTGCAACACCAGGCTACAAAGCTGCACAACAGCTTTGTGTGGCTTCCGCAGCACCATCATCCAACAGGAGCAATGTGCTTGCAACAAGGCAGGTGCCAGAAGCCAGACAGAAGAAAGGAAAATCCCTCTAAGTACCCTGTCAGCCTTCTGCTTTGTACAAGATCACTGCGGGGCTCAGACACCTACCTAAAGCCACAGACAGGAAGAGGAACCCTGTGACAGTGGAGAGAAAGGCTTAGCTGGGGAAAAAGCAGAGAGGCTCTTTAAATACCGAATGGCAAAGCCAAGACCACAAGGCTCAACCCAGGCCCTCTTCCAAAGGAACAGCCCTGAAAACCCCAAGGGCAGGTTTGCTTGGGAAGAGAAACCAGGATAAGGGCAAGGAGAGGGGGGTCCTGGTACAGGAGAGCAGTGGGAAGCTGTGCTGGCTTGAGTACGTTCTCCACACGAACCTTGCAGGAAGGCTGTTGCAGTGCAGAGGATCTCTTTCAAGTCCTCGGTGCTCTGTACAAGGGGCAGGGAGGCCCCTTCAGCAGGTACTCGCCATGCCTTGAGCAGGGAGAGGAGTTCGTCCTCCCCCTCGCTGCAGCGAGCTCTTCCTGGGTCCTGTGAACACACAGAGGAGAGTGAGGAGGGAATGCTAAAGTGAAGCAGGAAACACTCATCCCAGGGCATGGGGAAACAGAGGTCCCACCAAATGCTTTGACAGCTGTGCTGGGGAGCAATGTCCTGCCACCCCTCACTGCAACTACAACACCCTCACTGCAGTGATTCCTGCCTGGCCTGAGGCAGCACCTCCCCACTTCAGAGTGAGGTGCACCTTGAGGGGCTCCTGGCAACGCAGACTCAAGCGCTGTCAGAGGGCATTCAACAAGGTGGGACTCCTCAGTAGACTCATAATCAGCAGGGAAGTTTTCTCTGCATTCCACCGCTCGTAGCTTGCTCACTGCAGAGGCTGCAAATCCACCTGCAGCCCCCTCTAGCCAGCCTGTCTCCTGTCTTGCACCTTGAGGTCCAGGGCCCCGAGAGCGAGGAGATATTCTGGGACTTATTAAAGCACTCAGGGCCATTAGGCTGCGCTGGGATGCCAGGGAGAGGATTACTCATGCTGACTGGGCAGCACTGATGAGTTCAGGTCTCCAAATGCCACAGCAACATTTTACAGAGCAGGGTTTACGACAAACACAGTATTTATGCCAGCTCTGCGTCCTTTAGCAAACCCATGGGTATTCGTATCTCTGCAGCTACTCCAGTGCAGGTCACTGGGAGCTGTGCAACACCCACCCCTGCCCAGTTACCTCAGCGTTGCTCAGGAGCCTGAAGAGGCCAGCAGTGCTTCCCAGGCGGCTGGCTGCCAGCCACCACGCAGCTTGCAGGGCCCCCAGTCGGTGCAAAGGTGCCTGCAGCTCCTCCACAGTTACCTCCCGCAGCACCTTCTGCCACAGCTCCTCCGTGCTTAGATCCTTCCCACAGGCCCCACAAGCCTCCAGAACTGGAAAAAAAACCAACCCAAACAAACAAACAAAAAAACCCCAACCATTAGACAACAGATCGGTGCCCTGTAACAGACACCCTCAAGACCAAAAGAGGCTCAAGCAAGCTTGGGCTTGCTCGTAGTAAGGGAAGGAATGAGGCTACAGAACTGGCTGGGCGTCAGCAGCACAGAAACCAAGCTCTTCAACAGTGGAGTTAACAGCAAGACACTCAGGAGACAACACATGGTTGAGAACTATGACTGCAGTTCTGCTGAGGCCTCCTGAGGTCACTTGCCCCAGGCCAAGCATGTGTCAACACTGCAGGGCCTCCTCCGACCTGCAGCCCATTTCAGCGAGTTTTCTTTGAAGCCAGCACACCATAATAAAAGAAAATATTTGTTTTCCACCATCACTAAAACTTTGCTAGAGACTTGGCACCTTACAGCTTGAAAACTCTTGTTTCCCTTAATATCTCTGGCCCATCCCTGCAGGCAGCAGCCCGCAGCCAGCCAGGCAGCTGGACATCATCCCTGGCCAGAAGCCACCCCACCTCCTTCCATCTCCAGCCACTCACCACACATGTCCAAAGAACAGAGAATAACACCCTCACCCTGAGAAGCCCCCCCATACAGAGAACGATCTCCTTACCCCTGAGTAGCCCCTGGTGTATTCCTTCTGCTGCTTCTTTGATGGCAGAGTCAGATGCTCCCATAGTAAAAAGCATGGAGTTGTAGAGGACAGTAAGCTCCAGAGGCAGGGTGGGGAGGGCAGCTGGCAGCCCTGTGATCACAGCCAATGCAACAAGAAATTGAGCTGGTTAGGAAAAACCCAACAACCATCCATGCTAAGGTGTTACCACTTGGCTTTGTGAGAACAAAAGTGTCCTGGCCTGTATTTTTTTTGTTGCTGTTGTTATTGTGGTGATATTTGACAGCTTAGGAACTGGAGCACATACAGAGACAGCAGGTGTCACCTCTCCAAGTACTGTCACTGCTTTAGGCATCCATTCCCCAGGTGTCGCAGTCTTCCAGGACTGAGACCTTTCAGCTCTCCCAAAAGAGCATCAATGACCTACCCTCTTCCAATACACATCCACCCTTTTGCACAGGTTTTCCTCATTGCATCTCCCTCCCTTGCATCCAGCTTCCTCTGTACCACACTCGTGGCAGGGAGCCCCTTCCCCAGCTTCACAGAACAAAGTTTGCCTCTTTTTTTTCCAGAAACCTCAAAGCTCTGCCCACACTCCCCAATAAGAAGATCAGGAAGAAGTTAGAGCTGGGCCTTAACCCCTTTAACAGGCACAGTTCAGCTTCGGATTGTTTCACCCCTCCCCCTTCTTAAGTTTGTTTCTTGCACAGACACCAGAGCTGCAGCCCAGTAAACACCAGTGCCCGGGAGCTGGTAATTCTGTACCCACAAGCTCCAAGAGGGAGGGTGAAGGCCGGGCACGGAGCAGGTCGGCCCAAGCCGACCGGGCCGCCACTCACCTTGCATCCTCAGGAGCAGCTCCCCAAAGCCCCCTCGCTGCTGCCGCACCTCCCGCTTCACCGCTCCGCCAGGCCCCGAGCACCGCGCTGCCTGCAAGGGAAACTCTCACCCACCGGCCCGGCGAGGGGAACAGCCGGTGAGAAGGACCGGCTCGCCCCACGGACACCGGGCAGGCTACGGCCTAGCCCCAGCCGGCGGCGTTCCCATGGCAACCGGCACCGGAAGCAGCGCCGGCCGCGGGAAGGGCAGCCCCGAGGCTCAGGGAACGGGGAAAGAAGGGAAGAGGGAACGCGTCGCACCCGCCAGCGCTCGGCCAGGGCCCGGTTCTCGGCGGCCCAGGCCTGCAGGCAGCCCGGCTCCGGGGGCGACCCGCGCCGCCGCTTCATGGCCGCCGCCGTTTCATAGCCGCCCGCCCTCTTCCCCCGCTCTCCTCCCGCCTTCCCCTGATTGGCCGGCGCCCGCCGCGCCGCCGCCCGCGATTGGTGGGCCAGGCTGTCAGGTACCATCGATCTCCAAGGCAACAGCCAAGCGTGGATAAAAGGGGCGGGGCCTGCGGCCTTCCCGCCAGAACGGCGGTGGCCGAGGAGGACCAAACCGCGTCACCCGGCGAAGCCGCCGCGGTAACGGACCCGAGGACCGGGGACGGGAGAGTCCCGGCTGCCCGCGGCCGACACCGGAGGTCGCGAAGGAGGAGACGACCACCGCCCGCCTCGCCACCGCACGGCTTTATTTATTTGCAGACATCCGGAGCCCCGCGCCACAACCTTCGGACGGCAAATCTCACCCCCCTCCCCTCACCACCACCGATTAATTAATGAAGTTGTTTAATTAACTAAGCGTCCCCTGTGCGCCAGGTACGACGGGCTGGCAGTCGCAAAAGCGGGCTGGATACGGAGCACAGGCCTCAAGGACCGTGGCAGCGCAGAGGCCGAGCTGTTGGGTGAATGAGTGCTGCCAGATTGCCCGGTTTTGGGTTTTTTCTGAAGGAAAAAAGGCTCTACTTCCTACTCAAGCATCACTTCCACCTTCCCGGTGTAGCTGCTGAACGGGAACAGAAGCATTAATGGCCAGATATACCCAGGAAAGCGTAGCACCACGTTGCACGCAGAGCTCCCAAACTGCTTTCCAGAACTTGGGTCCATCCCCTTTTTTTTTTGTTTTTTACCCCAAATTGGGTACTGAGGCACAGAGAGGTTAATAACAACAACAACAACAAAATAATAATAAAATGACAGTCTCGCTTCAAGTCATGCGGGGAGTCGAGTGGGAGCTGGGGGGAGAGGGCAGTGCTTCCCACCCCCCACCCCGGGGACACACGGGCACCGGGAACGTGACCCTGCCCCGGGGTGAAGGGTTGAGGGAAGAACAGAGGGAGATGGGACCAAAGAATGGGTGTGGAAGAGGGAGCAGATGGAGCCCTGGCCCCCCTGCAGCAGTGTCACCCCCTGGGACAGACACACAGGCAGTGCCAGCCCTAGAGATCGAGGCGGGGAGATGCCCCCAAAAGTCACCACCCTTCCCAGTGGTCACTAGACATGGTTCCACCCCTGTGCTGTGCCATGACCACGGGACACAATGTCCCACAGTTGGCCTGAGCTAGGGAAGTTTCCCAGGAGAGGGACAAGACGCTGGGCAGGAACCCTGCCAAGGAGTGCAAGCACAACACTTCCAAAAGCCCAACGAGCAGCAGCTTTGAGGAGCACACCGAGGACGATGTGTCCCCCGTCATGCTCAGCCAAGGGACACGGGGCCTGAAACAAACTGCTTGGAATAACTGGTCCAGAAGAGAACCCAGCAGGCTTCAGTGACAACCTCAGCAGTTGTAAATGGGGCAGAGATGGCTCCCCAGGAGACCGTGTTTCCCAGGGAGCCTTGGTTTGGGCCAGCAGGAACCTCTCTCCAGACACTCCTTGGGGTTCTAGATCAGCAGAGACAGCCAAGTCTGCTCTAGCATCAGCAGCACACTTCCAAGGTGGCGAAGCCTTGGACCGACGTTAAGTCCGTTATCCCCAGCACACTCAGGAGAACATCAGCCAAACATCAGCTCAAGGGCAGCCGGGAAAGGCAAATAAAAAGTCAATGGAAGAAAGCAAGAACATCTCCAGCCCTTGGAAAACTTGTTCCTCTTGAATCCGAATTTCTTTGGTGTAGCAGCAAGCCAGTCTGCCTTGGCTGAGCAGTGAGGACTCCTTGGCATCTCCGCAGCCACAGAGATGTACTCCCATCTCTGTCACTGTGAGGTTTTTCTATTTTCCGGCGAGACCCGTGTGCGTGGTTTCACAGCGCTGCAGCTCTGCTGTCCCCCACCCTGCTCTGCCCCAGCCCCCCGGGGGCCGTGAGCCCCCAGCCCCAGGTGGAAGGCAGAGGGGTGACACGGAGGCAGGAGGAGAGGACGCCCCACACACTGTCGGAGTGCTCTAACCACGAACAATGGGCACGGGGAGGCCCAGCAGCATGATGGTGGCCACAGAACTAGTCCCAAAGACGGGAGAGAATGAAGCCCAGGGGCCTGGGTGGCAGCTGTGGGGATGTCAGGGGCCAGTTCTGCAGCATGAGCAACCATAAGGGGTTCTGTCTGCCCGCACAAATAGAGCTGGGCAGCAAGGTCCTGACCAGGTTACAACAAAAGCTTCTAGTGCTCCAGGCTCAGGGTTTAGCAACATGTTATCTAGACTGACCTCACACTAAATGAAAATTCCCTGGGTAGCTGCTACCTCCAACCCTGTCCTCTCCACCAGCACTGTCCTCTCAGCAACAAGAACCTTCTGGCTGCCAAGGAGTCACAGTATAGAGCAAATAACCTGTTTTTAAGGGTGGGATTGCTTAAGTCCATGCTGATGCGTTCTTGCTGCTTCCAGCTTGCCCTTGCACTAGCCCTGGCATGAAATCAAGCAGGACAGGCCCCCAGGGCAGGGGAGATGGGAGGGTGAGGTGTGAGAACACAGCCAGCAGGTCAGGAGGGGGCCAGGCAATGGAAACCCAAAATTCAGAGCAGTTTAAGCCTCCCTGCAATTGCAACCCTCACACCTGAGCGAGCATTTTGCTGGGGGTAAAACAGAAAAATGAACCTGCCCTCAGGAGCCACTTTCCACAGCAACAGGGCGCTTGGGTGGAATGATGAGAAATAGAATGATGAGAGAAGTGACGAGACACTTTCCCCAGGACAGGAGAGAGGAAGAGCCTGGAGACAGGGCAGCAGGTCTGCAGTGAGGAACTCAAACAGGGGCAGACACCGTGCATGAGTTAAACAAACAACTGGGACCAGAAGAAAAACCAAAGCTGGAATCCCAGGCAAGCCATCCTCAGCTCTTCCCGGAGGGGAAAGAGACAAAAGGTTTCATAGCACCAAGTAATGCCACACAGTGGTTCGGGGCAGTAAGGAACCCCCAGCTTCCATCAGAACTGCGGGGGGGAATTTAGCTGGAATGTGGCCAGGCACCGTGGTCGCTGTTCCCTACCTCTGCCCATAAAGAAACACGGTGTCTCCTTGACTGCGAGCAGCCAAGGCAGGTTTGGGGCAACTCATTCGTGGCACAACCTCCCACACAGAACACCAAGGTCAAGGGGGAGATGAGCACCACGTGTGGGATCACAGATGCCATCAGCTGCAGTTTCTGGGGTCCCTTCAAAGTGACACAACCACCAGGCACCTACACAGATACCGATGGGTTAAGCCAACCCCTAGAAGAGTTGTCGCCCGCTCAGGGCTTTCAAGCAGCAGTTCCCAGGCACCGGAGTTCACACCAAGGCCTCTCCTACAGTTGGGACAGCTACTCCAGACTCCCCATTCCTCCTGACCAAATCCGGTATGGGGATGACTCTGTCACTGCATCCTGCTGCACCTCAACCATTCAAAACCAACAGCCAGCATCCAGCAGCACATGCTCAGGAAGAGACTGGGAGCCTCAGCTGCTACAGCCCAGCCCAAGGGGACACTGACAGGCCTAGACCACGACTGGAGTGTTTTCTTGGTCATGGACACGGTTCTCCCTGCTACCACCCTCCCAAAAAAAGCTGAGCCTACTTCAGGCTGGATGAGGCAGCCCAGCCTGATCCCCTTCACAGGGGGACTCTTCGTAGGGGTGAGGAAGACAAGGAAAATGGGAGAGGTGTGCAGAAGGGCCCTCCCTACAGAGCTGCCAACTGACTTTACAGAGGAGCAGCTGCCACCGAGACCCAGGGAATCATCTGTAGGTGTAACCGTGTGCACTTTGATGCCAGCATGACAACTGAGCACGAAGAGAAGTGGTGGCTGCAGGACCTTCCCTCTCCTCCCTTCCTTCCCCTCCTCAGCAGGCCCCCTCCCGTTAGTCCACTGAAGCCGGCCAGTTGCACAGTGGGGACAGCTGTCAGGAAAGTAGCAGCAAGACCCCCCGTTGGTGTTTCTCCAGAGGAGCACTTCAGGACTCTTGCTTCTTGAGCTCCTGTAGCAGAGTCCTCCTGCTGCCTACAGAGGCCCAGCGAGAGCTCTGATCTCCACTGCTGAGAAACACCACGGCAGTGAGAGGGGAACAGTCGGCTCCGGTCCTTTCGTGCAGTGCTTAGGCAGGGAGCTGGGGACAACCCCTGACTGTTGTCGGCAGGCACTCGTTGCTGGTAGCTCGTGTATCCCTCCTGGCCCCAGGGAGACAACCACAGCCTCGGCCGACGAGCACGGTCAGGTTCCCCGCATCTCCAACGTTACCTGAGCTGAAGGTGGCTGAACCAGGTGCTGACAGCACAGTCCACACGCATCACCAGGGAGATCCCCAGCAGGAGGCAGATGCTGCTCACCACAAAGCCCAGAGACTCAAAGAGGAACCTGCAGGCACAACAGAGGCAGTGAGGATTTCACAGCCAGCATGCCCACGAGGACAGGCTGCTGCCCTCACTCCCAGCAGACTGACTTTACTGATAGTGAGAGGCCAGTAGCACCCCAGATCTGAAAACCTGAATTATATTCCCTCCCTAGCAGTTGCTGCCTGCAACCTGGAAGCCAAGCATGCCTCTGGTTTAGAGGCCATTCAAGACAACACCCAGGTGGGATTTTGAATCCCTCAGAGGCAGAGGCCACCCCACACTCCTACTGTGGCCTCCTACTAGCCCAAAGGTATGCTAGGTTTAGCACTTCATGGTATACCATTTGCGGTGGCCTCACCTTTGGCTCTCTGCCCTGAAAATTCTTATCTTCCAGGTGGCATTGTATGTCCTTGGAAATCAAGATAAGGAGAAATTTCTGAGCTCTAACTCAACTCCAGCTTCTGAACTTGAAGCATAAATTAGTTAAGGACAGTCCTACAGCCTCTGCTAGGTAAGACGTCAGAAAGTTGATCACAGGGTCTCTTCCAACAGTACTGTCTATGAACTCTAGTCAAGGTGTCAGGGATATGAGCCCTAACCCAGCATCAGAGCAACTCCTGGGACTTACTTTGGGGCAAAGACCTTCCAGACCATGAGGTGCCTCCTGAGGATCATAGCTGCACAAACACAGGCCAGAAGCTGTGGGGGAGATCAGGAAAAACAAGTTACAAGTGACTCTGGAGAGACCTCCTGGGCACTAGGTTCACATCTGAAGGTGGTACCAGGGGAGGGGTAATAGCTTTGAACTAGAAGAGGGGAGATTTAGATTAGATCTTAGGAAGAAATTCTTTACTGTGAAGGTGGTGAGACACTGGAACAGGTTGCCCAGGGAAGCTGTGGATGCCCCATCCCTGGAAGTGTTCAAGGCCAGGCTGGATGGGGCTTTGAGCAACCTGGTCTGGTGGGAGGTGTCCCTGCCCATGGCAGGGGGGTTGGAACTCTATGATTTAAGGTCCCTTCCAGCCCAAACCATTTTATGATTCTACTGAACTGCACACACCCGAGAGGCTGGTACAGTGCTCACCAATAAGCATGCCAAAGAGAATTCCCTTCCATCGTGTCCTCAAATCAGGCAACACAAGCAGCCTGGGACTCACATGGGCCCTCCAGGGGCCAGCCTGGGACAGCATAAGGGAGGGCTCAAACTGTGACTAACCTCACCTAATACCTCACTGAGAGGGGCACCCCTGCCCTCCTGCTGCAGGGCCTGCCCCCTCCCTTGCACTGCCTCTGGTCTGACCACACAGGAGAATGATTTGAAGGGCTAAACCCCAGAAACCTGTTCGCTCCTTCCACAGGATTAGGTTTCTAATGTTTAGCCCCCTACATCAGCACAGCACAGGATCAGACGGACACTAGAGCTGGTGCAAAATAGATGGGCATGGCTGGGAAGAGGGGGAGCAAGATCACAGCCCTGCAGTTTCTGAACAGATGCTCCCATTCCGGGCAGATGGGTGTGAAAAGCACCCTAATCATACTGCGCCTTCCACACTGCAGCCCTTTCCAAAGCACAGAGTAAATGGCATAGCTGAGAAGAGGACCTGTGCAACTGCTCCTCCACCTGCAACCAGAGATACCACCCCTGGGCCTGTCTGTGCCCTGGCTGACCCCTTTCTCTCATCAAGAGTGCCCCACAGTTCTCACAGCACACCCATTTCCTCTTAGACAGCCTTCCCCACAGCCATCCTGCCTCCGTCTGTACCTGTGTCCCAAGGACAAAGAGGTACTTCAGCCCCAGCCGCAGCAGTGCAGTGAAGAACTTCTCCGGGGACTCCCACAGCCTCATCTCCATCATGTGCTCCTCCACCTCCTGCAGCTCCTCCCGGGTCTCCTTCTTGGGCTTCCTCTTCTGTGAGCTGGGCATCTCACACACAAAGGGCCAAAGCAGGAGCAGAGGGCAGCCAACTACCTCGAGGACAAAGGCACATGAAGTTACTGGAGCCCAGGAGGTGAGAAGCAGTCTAGGCTCTGCCATCATGCCCTGGACGTGCAGGAAGCATATACCCCAGCTCCAGTTTGCTGGTCAGGCACAACTGCATGGAGGCTGCAGGCCATGGGCAGCTCTGTGGCCCCCGAACGGGACAGCAATGACGCTGCTTTTCAGCTGGTGCTGGAGCCTTCATCGCCTCGTGCTCAGCCTGCAGGCCTCCAGACAAGGCAAAGCAGTGAGCCGTGTCTGCTCAGGCTCAACAGCCCAGGAAGAAACTGATTTACCTGCAAAGAGGATATGGGAGGCAAAGGTGTTGGCGCCCACCAGGACAGCAGGCAGGAGGTTCGTGCTGTGGTCAAAGTGGAAGCCCACAAAGGCTGCATTCCAGTGGATGGCTGGGAAGATGGGCTGGTGGCCTGTGGAATAGAAGAACTGCGAAGCAGCAAGGAGCCAGGAGATGACTGCATACCAGGGCACCGAAAAAGGCTCTGAGAGACAAAAAAATTAAAGAAAAAAAAGAGAGAGAGTTATTGATCAACATCAAGGCACAAGACAGATACACAATCAAAAAAAGCGTATTGACTTCTCTTCCAGGTTCCCCTTCCACGCTCTCTAAGAGACAGAAACCAGTCAGGGTCCCAGCACAGACACTGTGAGGGGCCAGGCTTTCCCTCTGCTGCCCGTCCTGGTACTGGACTCTCTCAGCAGCAGTGGGATTTGGTGGTTGCTCACACCCTGGGGAGAAAGAATGATTGTAGAGCCCCCTTTCCCCAGCACAAGGGATGACTCCTCCAATGTTACATCCCTACTGCATGCATCTCTCTTCTACCAGGGGATGTAAGCAGCTTTAAAAAAACTAGAAGGATTCCTTGAGGATCAGTCCACCGCCATTCCCCAAGAGCAGAGACTGGGCTCTGCTTCTCCCACTGGAAATAAGACAAGGTCACTGCATCTAAGGCCCAGGTTGCGCATCAAGAGGATGCTCTACTGAGCCCTGACTCACCAGCATCTCCAGCAAGGCCCCTGGCACGCGTGTGGATGTGCAGCAGCACGAAGGCCTCCAGGAAGAGGAGAAGGAAGGCGAGACTCAGCCGCTCACTGTGCAGGAGCATCAAGAGGAAGCCCAGAAGGGTGAGTGCTATGACCAGGGCTGCCGAGTACACACTGCCCAGCCCATACGCTGCAACGGTGGCCTTGCATCTGCCCCGCTCCAGGCGGCTCTTCTGAGACTCCTGCATCCTCTTGTAGATCTGAGGGATGACGTGGAGGAAGTCGACTTCAGAGCTGGGAACCCCCAGGTAGGGAGTGACGATGGATCCTGCCGGCTCCCGTGTGTCCTTCGCCAACACTGTCATGGGGTTGCACAGCAGGAGCAGCAGCCCCACGGATGCTAGTCCATAGACGGCCCACGGAAAGGCAACCACTGCCACCTGCACCAGCTCCTGCAGCTTGCCGAGGGAGTCGTCAGCGCTGGAGGCAACGGCCCAGTAGCAGGCGATGCAGAGGACCACCAGTGGGAAACCCCAGCGCACGAAGAGCACGAGGGGGTCCGAGCTGTTGAGGTTGCCGTAGTGTCGCAGCCAGCTCCGCACTGCATAGACCAGCCCAGCCAGCAAGGCCACGCACAGGAGGTAGAAGAGGTTCTTGGCCCGCGTGTTTCTCAGGCTGGCAAGGGGGGAGAGGAAAAGAGAGGGCCGGCACTGAGGGATTTCTTCGCGGCACTGGTGGAAGAAACCGGAGAGGCGCACGCAGACCAGGAGCGTGGCCACAAGGCACAGCAGGTACCAGATCTCTCTTCTGTAAGAAGAAAAGCCAAGGAGATGCTGCTTGGGGCCTTCTGGCACAGTCAGGCGACCGTCCCAGTGGAGCTTCCCTACCAGCAACATCACCAGGGAGGCCAGCAGGAATGGGGCCACCCGGGCCTCGGCCACCACAAAGCTATCGGAGAACATAGCTCCGCAGCGGAAAAGCAGAATGCTCATGGGGAAGGCCAGCCCCAGCCACGCTCGCAACCTCTGCCTCAGGCCAACGCTGGCCAAAGGTGGCTGACTGCCCGCCAAACGGGTTCGCTTGGGGTTCCGGCCCCACCAGTGCCAGAAAAAACCCAGCTGAGAAGCTGCGGCTGCCCATGCTGACACCAGGAGGAGATCCAGCCCCTCCTGGGTGAAGGCACGGGCCAGCCCGAGCAGAACAGCCGCCGCGAGGCCCCAAAGCAGCGGGTACAGGAGGCAGCTGCGATAGAAAGAGTCTGATGCTGCAGCCAGCTCGGAGGTCACATAGCAGAGCAAGCAGGAAGCAGCAATGAGGGCGCAGCCCCCCACCATTCGCAGGGGATGGAAGCGGGCCCAGGACTGGGTGCACACAGCCCGTGCCTCCCGCAGGTAGAGCTGGAAGCGACCGATGAGGCTTCCCAGTCTGGACTCCAGCTCTGGAGGCACCAGCGTCGCTCCCTGCACCTGAGCCAAGAGCTGAGTGTGCTCCTCCACGGCGCTGGAGAAGAGCTCCTGCAGGCGCTGGAGCTGCTCTGCTGGCAGGTCCTGAGCCACCAGCGAGTATGAGTGCAGGAAGCGGTCCACCTGTGGGAGAGGGGACACAGGGTCAGACAGCGGCACTGGGACCACCGGGAACAGGATTCGCTGCCTCACACAGCCCCTTCAGCATGGAAACAGCCCCAAATCTGCCAGCCCCTGCAGCTCAGGCTTGTCCCCAGCCGCATCACCCAGGGATGGTCACCCAAATCCAGGATATGACTGGTAGGAAACACAATTTCTCTGCCAAAGCAACACCCTTCTCAAGTGACATATCCATCCCAACAGCCACACTGACTCCTCTCAGCTCCTCACCTGCAGGTCACCTCTGGTAACACTGTGCATCACTAAGGGCTTTTATGCAGAAACTTTGGTAACAATAAGGCAAACTTCCCCCACAACTTTGAGTCACTACCAGTTATTAATCTGCACCTGATGTCAAACTGACATCGTTTGTCTGAGGGCAGACATCAAATTAAAGAGCTTCTGGTGGATCACATCAAACTGCTCCTTCTTCTTCAATGCAGGTGCATTAACCCACTGTACCATAGGCTAAGGAGAGTGTAGGAGGACAGGAACAGAGGCAGCTATGACGCCAAAGTCATAAAAAAAGAGTCTTACAAGGGCATTACCCAGGGCAGAGCAACTGTACAAACATCCAGCTGCTCAGCAGCGTAGATCTGCTCAAGCCCTGAAACACACCAATACTTCAAAACACGCTTTCCAGTTGCCTCAGAGCACAGGCAGAATCAGCCTGTCCCTGCCCATGAATGGCAAACATAGGCAGCAGCTCTCTCACAGGCCTGCGCGACCTCCCTGGTATGCAAAAGCTTCTTCAAAACCAACGTGATCTGAGCCAGAAACCTCCTCAGACAAATGGGTGCAAATATTTAAACAGGCAGGACTGAATAACGCTAATTCCTAACAGATGATGATCGATATCCTCAGTGACTAATGGACAATACCGTACACTATCATCTTTAAATGACAAAGCACTCTGGTGCTCTGTGAATACAGAGAGGAGAGGCCAAACACTTCTGTCTTCCCATCAGCAACCATGTCCTCTCCAGCTCCTCACTGACTTGCACCAGTGCTGTACAGCTGGCACACCAAGGAGTTAGATGGGGGCTGGAGGAGTTATTTATGTGCTCCTGGCAATCCAGTGGACCCTCAAAGCCTGGGTGGCATTTAGCTGAGACACATGCCTTGCAATGCATCCAGCAAATCTGGTTCTGTACCATGCCCAGAGCTGCAACAGACGACCTTCACACCCTCCATAGAGGCTCTGGCTTGCCCTGGTAGATGGGGCTGCTCCATTGCCTGGGCTTCTTTTATACCTGGTATAAACACTCTTGTTTAAATTTTGTCATTCAGCTCTTGGTGACCTGTATTAGGTTGTGCTTGGTGTTAACTGCTCCTTCTCTATCCCACTCTACTGTCTTCTTCTTTTATGTAGCTCTTTGGTATGGTTTTCCTTCTGCCATTAATCTAGAAAAGCTTTTTAGTCAACATTGTTCCTCCTCCAAAACTGAAGCAGCATTGAAACATCCATTTGTACTCCTGAATCTCCATCAAGGAGACTTGCCCCTAGTCATCTTCAGCTGTGAGGAACCAGCCAGCCTCCCCCATTACCAAATCCACCTCTGACTGCCTGGGACAAACCCTCATCTTCAAGCAAATGCCACCTTCCCAGCCAGCATTATCCTCACCACAGCACTCACCACCAAGCACTAAACAGGTGTCTCCCACTTCTCTTTTGAGAAAACGGTGCTGCCTTTTACTTCAGCAAACGCTGCAAAGAGGTAACTCTTCAAAATAAGTTCTCCACGAAAACAACACCATGTCACTGCCCCATCTTCACCAAACAGAAGAGGTTTGTGCTTAAAAAGCCATTTCTTCTCCTCTCTAGCTCAATGGGGAGGCCTACCCCAGGCCGTACCTGCTTGGCGTTGATGTGATAGACGGAGAGCTGCTGCAAGGCCGCAGACACAGCATCGCCGTCCCCGGAGAACAGCTCAGCCATCACCTCCCCGATGTTACTGTAGGGGATGGGCACACCCAGCAGCAGGGCCACCGTGGGCACCAGGTTCACCTGGGGAACGGCCTCAGGCTCCTGGAGAGACAGGGGAGGAATCGGAAATTCAGAAAGAATAGAGCAACACAGTTTTTCAGTCGAGCTAGAGGATGGTAGGGAAGGCATCCCAGTTCAGAGGGGAATGTAGGGAAGCCGGGAGTGGGAAAACACAGGGGAAGGCAGAGGCACAGCTCAGCTCCCCCTGATCCCCTTGTGGAGGGGAGGATCTGGGCATGTTTAGTTTGGAGAAGAGGAGGCTGAGGGGAGACCTCATTGCCCTCTACAGCTACCTGAAAGGAGGTTGTAGAGAGGCAGGTGTTGGCCTCTTCTCCCAAAGGACAAACGACAAGACCAGAGGAAATGGTCTGAAGTTGCGGCAAGGGAGATTTAGATTAGATATTAGAAAGAATTACTTTACTGAGAGAGTGGTCAGGCACTGGAACAGCCTGCCCAGGGAGGTGGTGGAGTCACCATCCCTGGAGGTATTTAAGAAACGTATAGACATGGCTCTTCAGGGCATGCTCTAGTGCCCAAGGTTATTGGTTTATGGTGAGGTGTTGAGTGTGGGGTTTAGTTGGTGGGTGCAGTGTTTTTGGTGGGCGTTTGGTGTGGTGTGTTTTGTATTTGTTTGCTGTGGTTTTTTGGGGGGGTTTTTTTGGTTTTTTTTTTTTTTTGCCAGGAGTGGGAAAACACAGGGGAAGGCAGAGGCACAGCTCAGCTCCCCCTGAGCGCCTTGTGGAGGGGAGGATCCCTGTTGAGGTCCTTGGGTCTGGCCCTGGCTGTCTAACAGCTCACCCAGCCCCATTCAAACACCCCTCACAGCTGGAGGGGCCTCAACGTGCGTCCCACATGCTTCAGTCACCTGCACCCTGTGCCAGCCTTTCCACTCTTCTCTTGGGAAAGGTGACAGACTCCCCACCCCTCTCGATCTAAACAGTCCCATTTAGTTGCAGTTTTCACCCCTGATGCCTCCCTAAGGCAGTGACAGCTAAGGATCGGCTTCTCCTCACCTCTGGAGGGCCTGTGCCAAAGAGGGGTGTTTTGCTGTACACAAACAGTGCTGCGTTCACTTCCTTCTCGCTGTCGCCACCATGGTCCCCGGTCTCTGTCATGCCATGGTCCCCAGCCACCAGAAGAAGGGTGTCGTTCCCCAGGTGATCCACCAAGGACCTGTCACCGGGATAAGGAAGGTCAACCTCTACCTGGGCAGGGCCCCAAACAGCCCAGGTTGGAGAGGGCACGTCCCCACCAAGCCTGTCTGCACCACCAAGATGAAACCCACAGAAATACGTGAGCAAAACTATGTGCTGATGCAGAGCTGTAACAACTGAGCCATGGATGAGGGCAATGTATGCTTTAAAACCCAACTGAAAAAAAGCCCTGTGACAGAGTGGACTGATCTCGCTTAGGTCCCCAGTCAATGGTGGCTGACTCCTCCAAGCCTTCAGGGATCTTGACAAAATGCAATTCAGAGGAAAGGTTCCCAAAAGGAGCACATTTCAGTCTGCTCCTTGTTGGGACTTGTCTATTGCATCATGTTGTGTGAGCAATCTCCTACTTTTAAGGAAAAAAGAGGTGACTGGTCCCTAAAGGGTACAATAAATCTGACACAACATATAATGCACTCTCAGATGCAGCAGGGCAAATCACTCCTTACAGCAGCAAAAATTAAAGCAGTCCTAAGAATCAAAAGCCACAACATTCTGGTCTCAGGCACGACTGTGTGATCAGGATTTCTGATCCATCCTGCACAAAGATGCAACTGACGGGCCTGTGCAGTAAATGCAGCACTCCCTATCCAGGGTTCTCCAAGTGCTTCTCAAACATCAGCTAAACCTCAGTGTGACAATCTCAATTTTAAAGATGGAAAGAGTGAGGCTCAGCTGTACTCCAGCTGCATCGTCACCTTATGGTTCAGTTGAGAAGCACATCTCCAAGACCTGAAGACAACCTTACCTTGGGGCAACCCCAAGCACAAATACAGGCTGGGCAGACAATGGATTGCTGAGGAAAAGGACTTGGGGGTGTTGGTGGATAAGAAGCTCAACATGAGCCAGCAATGTGCACTTGTAGCCCAGAAAGCCCACCGCATCCTGGGATGCAGCAAGATAAATGTGGCCAGTAAGGTGAGGGAGGTGATTCTGCCCCTCTGCTCTGCTCTGGGGAGATCCCCCTGCAATGCTGTGTCCAGCTCTGGGGTCCCCAACATGGACATGGACCTGTTAGAGCGAGTCCAGAGATGACCAGAGGGTTGGAGCATCTCTCCTATGAAGACAGGCTGAGAGAGTTGGGGTTGTTCAGCCCCAAAAAGAAGAGAAGGCTCCAGGAAGACCTTAGAGCAGCCTTCCAGTACCTAAAGGGGGCTTACAGGAAAGATGGGGAGGGACTGTTTATCAGGGAGTTGAGTGACAGGACAAGGTGGAGCAGTTTTAAACTAAAAGAGGGGAGATTTAGATTTGACCTTAGGAAGAAATTCTTTCCTGTGAGGGTGGTGAGGCACGGGAACAGGTTGCCCAGAGAAGCTGTGGATGCCCCATCCCTGCAGGTGTTCAAGACCATGCTGGACAGGGCTTTAAGCAACATGGTCTAGTGGGAGGTGTTCCTGCCCATGGCAGGGGGGTTGGAACTTGATGATCTTTAAGGTCGTTTCCAACGCAAACCATTATACGATTCTATATAATTCTATGAAGCCAAACCTCTTGTGAACATGTGTCTACGTAACCAAAACTGCCCCACAGCCAGGGAGTTCAGCTGTTGCTGGCCGAAGCACTTGTCTGTGTTAGCAGGCACAGCAAGCATTCCCTCTTGCCCTCTGCATCTATAAATTCCCTGCGAAGACCCCGCCAGTTTGGCTGAAAGAAGTCAGCTGGCAGCCCCCCACCGCCGCACTATTCACCTGAGCATCTCGTTCATCTGAGTGAGCTTCTTAGCCATCTCGGGATGGTCAGGTCCATGCTTGTGCCCACAGTGGTCCACGCCGAGGAAGTGAGCAATCAACATGTCCCATTCACCACTGTCCACTGCAGAACAAGAGCAGTCTTATCACACGCTAGCCTGGGACCCAGGCACAGGCTCTGCACCTGGATCCTCCAGCTACAGCCTTCTGGTTGCCTCTGGAAAGTGCCATTTCTTCCCCTCCTGCCATCGTCACCCCCAGCTCTCCAGCAGATCCATGCAGTTTTGAACAAAGACACACTCTTGGTCTGTGGGTGCCTGGGTGTGATGCCTCAGGGAGCTCAATGCCCAGCAAGTGCCCACCATCCATGGTTTTTGTTCACCACCCCTCAGGAGGGGAACAGCCCAACGTCACCCAAGTCACCTTGAAATACCCTTAACTCAAACTGCCACAAACTGAGCTTTTTGTAAAGGAGAATGCTCAGGAAAATGAGAACCCAGAACTCCAGTCCTTCCATGGAGATGTTTCAGGTCAGACTCATCAATGTGCCCCTCTGCATCCCATCCAGGACATGGGCCCAGCACACCAACTCTATCCCTAGCTAGAAAGTTACCCCAGACTCTGCCCACTGCTTCAGGGCCTCCACACAGAAACACTTGAGTTAAATGCAGAGAAGTGCAGCTCTCCCACAAGGACTTCATCATGAAAGGCCACTGCACCCTTAGATACGTATCAGGTAAAGCAAAGAGCATTCCCCTCAGCCCCAGGACCTCAGGGAGGAGTTTGAAATCACCTAAAATTCACAAACCAACCTCACATTTCACCTTCTTCCCAAGACCAGGAGCAGTGCTGTGGGCCAGCCTCCCCACGGGTTGCTGCACTCTTGTGTATTTCCCAGAGCGCTGCGTGCCCACCCTGGCAGCCATGTATCAAGAGCTGGGCTGCTCCTCCTCCTCCACCCTGGCAGTGTATTTCTAGGACAGATATAGAAGTCTAACCTCGTTCTGTCACACTGCACTCCCTCCCAAAGAGAGGGAAGGTATTTACAGAAACAGTTTATGGGCCCCAAAAGTTGGCTTATCGGTGGAAATCCAGCTACACTACTGTAATCCCCTGGTGGCAGTGTGTGACTGCCCAGTGCCACTCCATAAGACAAAAAAAATCTTCAGTCCTACCCTAAACCAGGATTAGCACCCCCATAAAACATAAAGGGTTATCCAGGCCCTGGGGAAAGAGCTGCTTACCTGTTGGATAGAGATGCTGCAGAATCCCATCATCCACAGTGTGAAGATCCTTCACGTTAAAAGAAGGGAAGAAATACGAGCGGAAAAACTTCTTTGGGAAGAGTCCTTCCCAGGTGTCATCTCCCATGAAGACCACTCTCCTTCCTGAGTCAGCAAGAAAGGAATTAGTGAGAGCAGGGAGCCCACCCAGTCGTGCTGTTACCCACACCAGTGCAAAGAGCCTGGGCACATCCAGATCAGGGTCTGGAGCACCAGCTCATCTCCAACCCACACCCAAAAGCAACTTAAAACTAAAATGACCACGTGGCTGCAAATGAGTTGGAGTATGGGGAGCGACCGGCCCTGTTTCTAAGCTTACACGTGCCCTCCATGCCACATCTACCTGGGCAACCTCACAGCTTATTGCTGATCTCTGACACGTCACCCCAGCAGAAGGACCCATGGTCTGAACTGGCCAGGGAGAGGCAGGCACCCTCCCACACTACTGCAGCACTTAGCAAGGTGCAGCATGAAGCTGACAAACCTTGGCCCAAGGACCACAACCCCACTGTAAAACACAAGGAGGAAGACGGCTGCTGACAGGGGTTGAGTAGAAGCCCTGCGTCCTGGGCTTCGGCTTTAAACATAACAGTGGTGGGGTTTCATATGCAGAAAAGAGAAAGCAAAAGCAGTGAGGGTTCCCACTGCCCTTGCTCTGCCTGCCACCCATCAGTCCTCTTTGCGTTGCCACAGAGCCTCTCCAGCCTGGCAGCAGGAACTATTTCCCCCAAAGCTGCTGCTCTGGTACAGGATCTACCAGAGTTTTTCGCCTTGGATGATTTACTGCTTTTGTCCACCTTGCTCCCGCATAGGGGGAGTGGACAACCCTGCCACGTTGCCTCATCCCACTCACTGGTATTTGTGCTACACTGAGCCCCGGCAGGAAATCTCTCCAGATAACACAAGAGTGCATCTTGTCTCCTTCTCTCTACTGCATCATCCCACCCAAACAAACCCTTTCCAGCTGCACTAAAGACACCCGAGCAGCACCCAGCTACACAGAAAATGTGCTGAGGTTGCTGCCTGACTGCCGTAGGCAGCTGCTGCATGAGTAGCAACTCCACAGCACACCTAGCACTAGCTCCTCCCTCATCATGGGTCTCACCTGAATGCAAACACAACACGACCGACTGCCCTTGGCTTTGTGCAGCCATTCCTGGTGGTGACCTTGGGACAGCCACCATCACAGCCACCTTCACCTGCTTTCTCATCGCCTTTGAAGGGGATGAAGATGAAGCCATGGTCCCAGCTACTTCTTATTCTCAGTACAGGATAACCCTGCATGATAGCTCTGTCTGAGACAACTATCATCTGATGTATGGCAAAAGAATTAGCTGACAGGGTAGAGGGGCTGCAAGCAGTTCCCTTCCCAAGAAGAGGAGAATAAAGGTCCAGTGTGAGTGCTGACCAGTGGTTTCCACACGCCCTGCCCCAGAGGGACACCGCCCTCACCCACCTACCGTTCTCCACCAGCTGTGCCAGCAGGTTGTCCTCCTGGATCGCGTAAGTGGCAAAGTTGCTGCCCACGTCGATGAAAGTGGGCAGCGAGCCCGTGGTGAGGCCCTTGATGCGCTGCATGGTGGCGGTGGGGGGATCAGCGCGGAAGCGGTAGAGGCGGGCATGGCGGGGCTGGGAGGTGGCAAGGTGGTGCAGGAAGCCCAGCTTGTTCTCGTAGGGCAGCGGGCTGGCCTTGGCTGGGTTGAAGCGGGCAAACTCAAACCGGAGGGCATCGATGATGACCAGCACAGCCTTGGAAAAGCGCTGGGGCGCCCAGCAGGAGCCCGGCGGGAGGCTCTGCCTCTCCCAGGGTGGCGGCAGGAGGGGGTCTGAGCAGGAACTGCTGCTGGGGAGCTCGATCCGGGTGAGCAGGAAACCGCTCATGAACAGCCCGATTCCAGCGAAAAAGAGGAGGCAGACCCAGGCCAGGAAGAGCAGCACCGGCCACCGCTGCATCCTAGGGGGAAGCACAGGCAGCCTGAGACCCCCGGGCCCGCCCCCCCGGGGCCAGGTGCGTGTCTGTGTGTCCTCCTCAGCCAGCACCCAGCCCTGCCCGCTGCCCTGCGCCCCGACACCCCTCACACCCGCCGGGCCCTCGGCTCCCCTCACACCTCCAGCCCGCCCCGCGGCCTCCTCACGCCCCCCGCACCCCGACCCTTCTGCCCCCTCAGCACCCCCTTCCCGTCACCCGGCCCTGACGCCCCCCAGGTCCCTCACGGTCCCACC